ATTGTGAGCTTAGCATGGTGACAGCATTGCTTTGTGACAGCAAAGCCATCTTTTTGCTATGCACACTGGGAGGCTACCTTACCCAGAATAATGTGCAGCAGCTCCTTCCATTTTATACAATACCTATACAAGTCGTTACTGCTATCATATCTACATACTTACTGCATACATAAAAGCTTTTTATTTAGGTTATATTAGTATATAGTATGTATTTCCGCTCTAGAAGGTACACACTAAAGCCTGTTTTACATTTGTGTGTAGCGGGAACTTGCATTTCCGCTGCAGTTTTGCGTTTTGTTAATGCATCAATGTGTGTTGCGCATAGGGCACCCTACATACAACAAATGCCCCAAAGAAACTCCTGTACTTTTTTGAAGTGGAGCGTGGTGCATTTTTCTTTTTTTGCAGCTCTTTTTGGTACATTTGCAGCTTGTTTAAGCCTGGGTTCACATATATATATATGCAGTGCGGTATATCGCATGTGATTCGCACAGGCACCGAAACGCATTCCTGTGCAAATCACATGCGATTTGTGTGTGGTGCGATTAGAGCCATACAAAATGTTTTGGCTCCAATCGCACGGCGCCCGCACCAAAAAGGTGCAGGACCCTTTTTTGGGTCCGCACTAGAATCGGATCGCATGGGTATTCATACCTATGCAATCCGAGTCTGCACATCGCACCACTTTTGGGGTGTTGTTAACTTAACATACACACCCACAGCAGTTCGCATGATGCGGTGCGGAATTTGCACAGAAACCGCTGCAAATTCTGCACTGCATCAGTGTGAACCAGGGCTATGGGCCGGTTCACACCATAAAAACGCAGTCCAAATGCGGTCCGGATGCATTTTTGCATGCGTGTTTTTGACTCATTACAGTGCATTTTTGATGATTTCCGGTTCATTTGGTTTCCTTTCTCTTTTTCTCCAATATAAATATGGATGTACGTTTTTGACATGTTCCAGTGCATTTTTTTTTTTATGCATTTTACCATGGTACAGTTCTGTGAAGGAAAAATGCTGCTTGTTCTACTACTTTCTGTGCATTTTGGATGTAAAGAAATAAAAAAGCACACTGAAACGCATGTAGTGTAAACAGGCCCTAAGTGCGGGTTAGTTGCGCTTTCCCACAGACTTTTATGAGGTCCTGCAATTTCAAAACGTACCAAAATTAGGACCTCATAGAAGTCTAAATGAATGTGCGGCTAACCTGCCTGAAAGCTGCGAGCGTGAAGTCACCCTAAGACTGGCAGAGTATGAGGAAACTATAGGGGAAAAATATCTTAGAATCCATCTTGTAGACCTTTCAGATAAAGGGATTTTTAGGGCTTTGCTGCCCACACAATGTTCAGCATTGGTATGACCTTTGGAGCTTTTTTTATGTTGTACTAAGAGAACGTCAGTGTTAACTTAGTATCCGTTTACTGTAGTGTTAGTGTTCTTCATTGTCTGCTCTGAATGGTTTGTGTACACAGTGTTTATTTTACTTGCCTGTTTAAATATACTGCAAAACTGAAAATAGTAACTCTTTATTTCAGCTATCAAGCTCTAATTTACGGTTTTGCTTTTATTTATCTAGATTTCCAGAAATTTCTAGAAACAAGGAATATTTATAAAACCATTTAGGACTCATGTGCACAGGACATTTTTTCAGCTCTTCTAGAATCCTTTCCTCCTGGCATGCAGCGTTTTGGCAGGAAAAATGCTTGATGTTTGTTAAAGTGTGTAACGTGTTTATGCGCGTCAATCGGTTGGGCGCTAATTCATTTCATTGGCCAGAATAATATTTTGTTCTGGCCATTGAAATTAATGCTCAAGCACTAAACATGCCTACTATTAAGGTGCGTATACTTGCGTTTTTTAAAAGGTTTTTTTTTTCTGCCAAACCGCCATTGCTCCTGGGCACACTGGCAGTGGGTTTTTTTCTGCCTCTAAACTTCTCTAAGTCTCATAGCCAAAACTGGAAGTGAAAGGAAATCCCTCACCCTGGTTGTCACCAGAGTCACCAGAATGAGTGTCCCCAGTAGAAGAATTACTTCTATTACTCTGGGGAAAACCCAAAAATTGGGGTTTTCCTTCACTTTGCATGATAAAGGTAAACAGGACAAATAGGGTGACTCTACGTAACGGGGGGCACAGACTACAATAAAACCTGGCAGGGGGGTCTTAGCCTCTCCGCTCTTTCCAAAAAAAAAAAAAGGATTTGCCTTATAGTGGTATTAAGCCCAAAAAAACAAACATATTATATTGCACCTTACCAATTCTAAGATGTGGTTGCATTAGTTTTCTTTTTTAGGCTTTCTTTTGTTTTCAGCTAGTGATCTGGCCGGTAAGTCTGTTGTGTTTCAACAGAACAAGCTGTCCTGCAGATGTTGCAGTTAGAGATGAGACAAACCATCTAACACTGACAGGAGTGCCTGCAATGTGCGTCTTTCATTTTTTCATGTAAATCCTTTATCCCAAAAGGAAAAAAAGGAGAGCCTGCGGCAGCGGTGGTGGGGGGGGGGGGTGTTTGGAGAAGAGGAGGATCCAGGCTGCTCTGTGCAAAACCACTGCACACCGCAGGTAAGTATAGATATGTTTGTCCTCACCCCCTCACTCTCCTCTTTAGCTGACTGGCTGTGATTGACAGCAGCAGGAGCCAATGGCTCAGCCAATGAAGAGGCAGAGACCCGGGACAACTGGGGCTGTCATGCACATCGTTGGATCTTGATGTGCTCAGGTAAGTATTGAGGGCGCTGGGGACACTGCTGCACACAGAAGGTTTTTTTACCTTCATGCATAGAATACATGAAGGTAAAAAACCTTGAGGATTTACAACCACTTTAAATCCTATAGAACTCTTTATACTGGTCAGTTGCTGGTATGTTGCATTTTTCAAAATCCTGCTTGCTGCATTTTTGGTGCGGTAAAAAAACACACTAAAAATGCCCCTTCCTATTGCAGTGAATGGAAAACGCACCCGCGATAACGTTTTTGCTGCGTTCTCTTTGTCACGCCAGGTAAAAAATGTGGCACTAACACATGCATTTTTACTGCATTTTTGCAACTGAGCAGTGTGAAAGTAGCCTTTTATACTAGTACACCTCTGCAGTACATGCACACCGAACGTGTTTTATCCCTTTAAAGACCCTGCAAGTACAGAAAAATACCCATTGATCTACAAGAAATGCACTCAACTGCTGAGTCCTGCTGTGGGCTGACAACTCGCAGCATTTTTGTTGACTGGGCGTTGTTGGCACTTCCCAGTTGTCTTTTTGCTAAACTCTCCTACTCTTTTATTTGCAAAACATAAACCCTACTCATTCTGTAGTCTCAAGATAAGAACTAGGAGGGCTAATTGGGCCTATTGGGATAGCACAAGAAGTCTGCACAGGACAGCTCAGGAATTTCTAATCACTCTGCATGATCCCAGCCACGGCACCACCTGCCTGGAGTTTGCATGTTCTCCCTGTGCCTGCGTGGGTTTCCTCCGGGTACTCCGGTTTCCTCCCACACTCCAAAGACATGCTGGTAGGTTAAATGGATCCTGTCGAAATTGACCCTTGTATGTGTATCTATGAATGTAAGTTAGGGACCTTAGACTGTACACCCCTTGAGGGTTAGGGACTGATGTGAATGCACAATATATATGTGAAGCGCTGCGTAAATTGACGGCGCTATATAAGTACCTATAATAAATAAATCTACACTTATCTAACAGATGTAGCAAAACACTTTAAAGGCTTGATCATAGGAGGTGCGTTGTGGGAACGCTTGCAGAATCATGTTTTTCTGCACTGTCTTTTGCAGATACGCACGAGTGCCACTAATTCTTACTGGCACCCCCATGTAACTAGCAAACATGCATGTTCATGCCTGCCAGAACGCATGGCACTACAGTTCCATACACTTTGGTGTGACATCATTTTAAAAACCATGCCTGCAGCTTTTATTGTACGTTTCAGACAGATAGGGCAGGTGAATAATTTCAAAGGGCTGCTGTATGTGCGCGAAACGTGAAAAATACAATGTGTTGGAATGTGTAAGAAAACATGCGCACTGGGACACACCTTCTGGTATGAATGAGCCCTTAAAGCTGATGTCTAACCTGTGAGGCTGCTGAATGTCCAATATAAACTGTATGTAGCTGCGGCTACATACAGCATATACCGCACTGTGTTCCGGGAATGAGCCGGGACTTCCAGTCTCATACCCGAAACACAGTAGAGTCTATCACAGCGGCGCTTGGCCATTCAGAGTAAGTGATGAGTCCGAGAGGCGGGCTGATTATGTCACAACCTCTGACTCAGACAGTCAGAGGAAGCTTTGTCTTCATTGATAGAATACATTGCTTGCTCTGAATGGCTGAGCCCGGCTGTCTTAGACTCTACTGTGTTCTGGGTATGAGACTGGACGTCTTGGTTTGCACCCGGAACACAGTGCAGTATGCTGTATGTAGCAGCAGCTACATACAATTTTTATACAGCACATCCAACGGCCTCACAGGTTAGTAGCAGACATAGCTTTTTTTTGGGGCCAAGCTGTAAAGTATATCAAGTGATCAGCTTTAATGGTATATTTAACAGATTAAAAGGTAGCCAATAAAAGGAAATAAATGGCAAAAGTGGTATTAAACCCAAAATAACTAAAATGTATTAAATCGCAGCTTACCAATTCTTAGATGTGATTGCTGCATTCGTTTTCTCTATTGGGCTTTTTCCTTTATTTCCACCTGGTGATCCAGCCAATAAGTTTTATTTTTCAACTTCCTTTAACAGACCAAGTCCAGACAAAGTAAGCAGTTAGAGGGTTGAGACAAACCATTTACCACTGACAGAGGTACTTATAATGATCAGCTAATCATGTAAAGCCTCTCTAGATGGTACCTTTTGAAATTAGTCTATAAACCGCACAAAAAATGTATATGCATTTTATTGCATTGCCTTGACATTCCTCTTTTTTTTTAATTGCAGTACAGCAGAATAACTATACTTGGGCCCTCCTGAAGTTATTAGGCAATGGCTACTGGGGACAAAGTTGCAATCTTGTCTGAAGATGAGGAGGAACAGAAGAGGAAGTATGTACTTGCTGATCCTTTCAATGGTGTTACCCCGGAGCAAAACCAATCTGGACCTAGAGACATCTCTGGGGCTACTGATACCATTTCAACTGCAGAACAGGACATGGACTGGTTGGAAAAACACTGCATTAAAATTAACAATGACCTTCTTATTTCAAAAGTTTTCTACTTCTTTTTTTATTCTGCATATGGATCTCTCTATCCCCTACTTCCAGTGTACTACAAACAGTTAGGAATGTCTCCCACTCAGAGTGGTCTTTTAGTAGGCATTAGATATTTTATTGAATTTTGCAGTGCCCCCTTTTGGGGTGTTATAGCTGACCGCTTCAGAAAAGGAAAGATAGTCCTGCTCTTCTCAGTACTTTGCTGGGTGTTGTTCAATTTGGGAATAGGATTTGTAAAACCAGCAGCTTTATTATGTGTGTCTAAAAATCCATTACCGGTCAGACCCACAAACTCCAGCCCAGTTCTCACAACTACTCTGCCCCTTTCATCCATGTCAACCCTAACTACAACAGCAAGCTCCAGTACAACAAAAAGCAAACGAAAGAGAGATTTATATGCGGATCTGTTTAACCTGGAGACAAGAAAAGAGTCGGGAAGAAGGTTTTATGAAGAAACTTCCATCACAGTGCATCGGTTTATTAGAGAAGCTAGAAATGACAGTGACATTGGCATATTGACAGATAATGGAAGTGTTCTTACTACAACAACTATAGCTCCTACCACCACCAAGAGTACCATTACTATGCTAGAGTATAACCAAGAAGATGTGCAAACCATATTTCTGTTGATTTTGCTAGTGGTTATCATTGGAGAATTTTTTAGTGCACCAGCCGTAACTATTGTAGATACAGTGACGCTTCAGTATTTAGGTAAACACCGGGACCGTTATGGGATGCAAAGAATGTGGGGATCGCTTGGTTGGGGCTTGGCGATGTTATCAGTGGGCATTGGAATAGATCACACCCACATATTTGTGATTATTGAGGGTGATGGTTGTACAGCCCCGGACTATAAGAACTACCGTATTGCCTTCATTGTTTTCGGTGTTTTGATGTCAGTTGCACTTATTGTGTCTACACAATTTCACTTTCATTATCACCATGTAAAACCAAATGAGGAGCGAAGAGAGGACCTAGAAATCTCTCCCGTGGCGCTAAGTTCTCAACCAGAATCTCCAGGGCAAAATCAAAACGAAAACAGGGGTCTGGAGGAAACGGTTCAACATTTCAGATTTTGGGATCTGATCAAGATTATCTGCACTGTACAGTATGGATCTGTACTCTTTGTAGCCTGGTTCATGGGATTTGGCTATGGATATGTCTTTACGTTTTTGTTCTGGCACCTGCAAGATCTTAATGGGACTACAACTTTGTTTGGCGTCTGCTCTGTACTAAGTCATATATCTGAACTGACGGCTTATTTCTTCAGCCACAAGTTAATTGAACTGGTCGGTCACATCAGGTAAGTCGTGTTTTAATTTTTAAAAAATTACATTGCATTCATATGTACTGCTACCCCCGTAGGAGCTGCTGGGTAGGATAGGTCCTCTGTTCTTTGCCTTGACCTTTTCAAGAACCTCAGCCCCTCTGACATGGCAGGTTGAGCGTACAAACCTACAATCTAACAGAAAATCACAAAGTAATACAAGAGCAGTGCTTTATAAGGGAAAACCGGTACCAAACGAGGTAGTAAAAGCAAACTTTTATATATTGTCGCTCAATGTGGTTGGTAACTAAACAAGCATAAAATGGATTAACAATGGTAATAGCACAATTTAGCATACAAAATGATTAACCGTTGGGACTAGGCATAAATGAGATGACATTTGGTATCCAGATCAGCATAAACAGAGGTAAGGCCACTTCAAGTGCAGCAGTGAAGCAGTAGTAAAGTTCAATCTATCGAGTGCTGGAACTATACTGCTGGAGTGCATTTATGGTGGCAATGCTAGTCTTAGACTGACTGTCTATGCACTGTCCAAAAGAAAAGGAGGATGGTAGCGGAGGGAGCAAGAGAACACAAAGAGGGCTTACAGAACAATTATTACAGGAGGGGCAGACCTTTTGAGATGTTCTTCTGCAGGCTAACATTGAGGCCCTTTAAAGTGGTTGTAAAGGCTGAAGGTTTCTATGCACGAAGGTAAAAAAATCTTTTTGTGCAGTATCCTCCCCCAGACCCCCCTAATACTAACCTAAGCCCCCTCTTGATCCAGCGATTGTGCACTGGAGTCTCAGCTATCCCTGGACTCCCTCTTCTCATTGGCTTCCACTGCTGTCAATCACAGCAAGTGAGCCAAAGAGAAGATTGAGAGGGTGGAGCCGAGCTGCTGCTCAGTGTGTGAATGGACACACGGAGCAGCAGGTGCCCTCATACCAAGCAGTTTGCTGTGGGGGGACTTGACAGGAGGGAGGAGCTAGGAGAGCCCCGAGAAGAGGAGGATCCAAGCTGCTCTGTGCGAAACGATTACACAAAGCAGGTAAGCATAGATATGTTTGTTAATTATTATGCATTTAGAATCATAAAGATTCAGTTCACCTGACAACAGTCTTAGTCAACCTGCATACCTGTATAGATCTGTTATAGTCTCGGCACAGGTACAAGGTAGATGTGGTTTAGATGCAGCAACGGCTCTGTATTATGCAGTGTAGGTTCAGTCTAGGTTTGGAATAAGTGCAGTATAGGAGCGATTTGGATTGAGTACAATTAGTGTCCTCCTGTCATAGGCTCAGTTTCTGCTAGCAGTATCGGCAAGGGATGATCCTGCAAATGACCTCTTGCTGTAGAAGGGGGCCCTCTCAGTGTCTCCATAGACTAGTTTTGGCGATTAACTGGTGGGAACTAGAGAGTGAAAGGATGTTTTGGTCTCTCTGTGGCAACAGTGCTGCCCTGCATTTGGGTGTCTCCGCTGGTCTGGCCTCTCTGCACTCTGACACTCTGATCATTATGCTGCAGATGTGCGCTCCTCAGCTGCAAGAGGAAGAACCTAGCTGAGCAGACTCATAAAAGCAGCTCTACTCCTCCTCCTTGCCCCAGTGTCTCTTGGGAATTGCAGTGTAATGAGCCCATTCACCCTATTATATGGTTGCCGTCTCAAACTACAACTCCCAGGATTCTCAGTGTCCCCCGTAGAAGTCTATGAGCTTGCTTGGCTTTTAGCTTTCCCACTGTTGGCTAGAAGAGAATTGTGGAGAACAACATCAGTATCTCCATAGAGAGCAGCTGTGCATGGAAACCAATTGACTTCTCTTCACCTTGTTTCGTTAAAGCCCAATGCTGGGGAACTATAAAATTATCTCGTGCAGTGGGGCTGTGTCTGCACTGCAAGGGTTAATTGCGCAATTTGATCTAGATGATACAGAAAAGCAGATTTACTTACCCTATCCTCCACGTCTTCCCACTCCCCACTGCTAGACTAGTTACCAACACTCCACTAGTCTAAGGTCCTGAGACCAATGCAGGACCAATGCCTGCACCAAGGATCAAGACCAATGCAGGATCCATAGTCTTACATTCAACCTGGGGACGCTGAGGGGCTGGAGCGTGGGGCAGCATCATCTCCTGGAAGAGCAGAGGATCAGGAAAGTAAAGGTGTGTGTTCTCTCCCCCAGACAAAATGAACAGGTAACCCTGGCAGTGTGGATACAGCATGGTATAATTTTATAGTCTCCTGAAGTTGGGCTTTAAACCCAAAAGAGAGGAGCTGATTGGTTGTCATACATGTCTGCTCCAGATTCGGTTTATTTAAAATGCTAATAAATTCTCCTCAATGTTTCTTAATTGTACATTATGGGGCACAAAAACAAAATCAGGAGGCAGGTACATTAAATGATGCTGCTGTTGGGCTCTGCAAAAGGTGCTTGCCTATCTACCTATGGTGCAGTGTGTTGAGTAAGTTGTAGGTTTCTTTACAGGTACAGGGCCATAGTTCACCCGCCTGCTTGAACCCTGTCCCTGGAGAGCCCTTAGGGCAGTGGTTCTCAACCTTCCTAATGCCATGACCCTTTAATACAATTCCTCATGTTCTGGTGACCCCTAACCATAAAATTATTTACCCAGTAATTATAATTCATGAGTGTCGTTTTACCTCCAATACTGCTGCTTTCAACATAGTAGCTGCTTTCTACACAGTAGCTGCTCTTTACACATCAGAAATATGTGTTTTCTGATGGTCTTAGGCGACCCCTGTGAAAGGGTCGTTCGACCCCCAAAGGGGTCGCGACCCACAGGTTGAGAACCACTGCCTTAGGGGGTATACCCATCTGAAGGACAAAAGACTCCTGGGACCCCTGATGGGATAAGGGCCTGCATGGCCTGTGATGGACCTCCGCTGCGCCGAGCAGGGCTTTTGTCTGTCTCTGTACAAGAAGCCTACCTGGGTACATGGTACATTTTTTTTCCCTGAAGGGAAATTTGGCACTTTTTTGCAGGAATAGAAGTGACTGCTAAAGTTCCTTCTTGGAAACTGAACTGAGCTTACGTGGCCATTTTCTTTGAGCATCTGCAAACCTCCTTTGCCTCTCTTCTTCACTGCCATTGGTTATAGGATCCTCTGGACAGTACCTTGGCACCCTGCTGCTTTACAAATGACTTGGGCTTATGGGGAAATTAGTCGTCATAGCTGACTCAAAATGCAGTGGTGAGAAACATTCTTCCATGCCCTCCTCTCCAGAGTCTATCTCTGATTTTCCTGGAACTCCATTTGCTTCTGAACAGTCAGCTAAGGACAGAGAGGATTGCATATTTAAGGACTGGGTACACAATGAGTCACAGTATGCAGAGATTTTTCCCAAAACTTGGGAATACTATTTTAGTCCTTATTGACTCATTCAATATGTGCCTAGATCTGTAGCTGCCTGCATCGGCTACTCCTAAAGTGTCTGTTGAACCAAAAACGCAACATTTTGCATTTAAAAAATGTCCCTGACCCTTTCCTAAAACACAGCAGCTCAAAAAAGCATAGACATGAACGTGTCCCATAGGAAACAATGTTAAATGAACTGCAGTGCGTTTCTGCAAAAAGCCCTAAAAAAACGCATGGGTGTGAACTAGGCCTCAATGGGGAGGTGCGTCTTTTTTTTTTTTTTTTTTTTTTACTTGCCAAATATGCACCGAAAATGCAGTAAGCAGGATTTTTTAACACCACAAGGCAAGCACAATGGACCAGTCTGAAGACATATATTGAATTTAAAGGGATGCATTTTTCATGTTCAAGTTCAAGAAGAAAAAGTTGTCAAGCCTTGCAAATCTGGGTAAGAGGTGCCTTGACCGTTAACCGCTTGCCGCCCTGCCACTGTGTATATATACGTGTGCAGGGCGGCAGTGGAGTGCAAAACCACGTTTAAAAACGGGTTCCGCGCTCCCGAAACTTTCGCCGGCAGGGGGCACGCGCGCGCGCTCCCGCCGACCCGCGGGTGATCTGATTCGATCCAGGAGGGATCAATCATTAGATTTCAGCCAGTGATTTCTGGCTGAAATCGGATGATCGGTCCCTGTCCTATCCTGTCCTGTGTTGATATTTACACAGGGCAGGATATGATGTCATTCTTCTCTGCCTGGACACATTCCGTTCCAGACAGAGAAGAAGAGACATTTAAAACGTGAGTAAAAACAGCACACTGACAGTTAGAACACAGTCTAGGACACATTTAACCCCCTGATTGCCCCCCCCAGTTAACCCTTCACTGCCCTGTCACCAGTGTCACTGATCAGTGAAGCGATTTTTATTGATCACTGTATCAGTGTCGCTGGCAACTTCCAATAGTGCTAGCGCCCCTCCCAGATAGCGCCAGTTTGCCCCCCAGTACACCAATAAAGCCATTTAACCCCTTAATTCCCCCCCCCCCCAGTTAACCCCTTAACTGCCCTGTCACCAGTGTCACTGATCAGTGAAGCGATTTTTACTGATCACTGTA